CTAGTGCAGTGCTGGGTATCTCGGATGGAAAATCTGGCTCGCGTCCATCATGCCGTTTGGAATAGCCGTAAATACAACGAGGTCGCCGTCAAAAGATTATTTTGCGCCTGGAAAGCGACTAACGAAATTCGTGCCCAAAAGATCGATCCGCCGTACCGCCGCGAAGCGAAAGACTCGCCGACACACAGGCTAGCCGCTAGAGTGTCCCTACACCAGCAAACAGACCTGATGATGCACATGTCACGGAAATTACTTACACCGCCGCACAAGCCAGCCATTGTCCATTGTATGGTGCCCACCCGGCCACCCGGCCATTGCTCATCAGCGAGTGTCAACGGGAGATGGGCCGTTGTGGTCGCCGGGGCCGCTGGCTGCCGCTGGCTGGCGTTGGCTCGCTGCTGGTGTTAAGCGACGTCATTCTCGTCTACCGCGCGTTTCAAAACAGTGCGACCAACTTTGCAATTTTCGCCAGCCTAGGTTCGTCTGTGCTGATCTTTTCGTTGCCGCCGTGCGCTTGGCTTTCAGCGCCTCCTCCACTGTGTCGTCGCGAGGCGGCCGATAACGTGTTTTTCTCACTCTAAGGCTTTTAGGCTGAGGGTATGTCGCAGCGCGTCGCCCCGCGCTGTAAATCAAGCCTCAGTCTCCGCCTCCCAGGCGACAGCGATGTCGTACTTTCGTCGCCATGTGACTTACCATAAAATAGGAGGAAAACGTCTTCCGCCGCTGGGTGACGGATATATTAAATTTTATCCTTTATCCAACAGGAGTACAAAAAACTGCCAGTAGTCCCACCAAACAATGCTAATTTTTCAAAACTGCTGATCATCTTGATGATGATAAATCTGAGAAAAAATAGTTTGCACGTTTCTTTCGTAAGTGTCCGGCAGGATCACGCATCCAAATGAGTCGTCATCGTTCACTGAATGGACTCGCGCTTTATAATTATTCCCAGACAATGCCGTGCGATTGGCAATCAATAAACCGGATCCTCGGACCCCACACAAACACGCACGCCGGCGTTTCCCAAGCGCGCCGCTGTTCGCACACTTGTCAACCGTTGTCGAAATGACGTAGAATCTCAGCGACGGCCCATCGTTTACCTCAAGTTCCTAGTCGGACCTGTTCCCTTCCCCCTCCCCCAGCCTTTCCACACCCATTCTTGGCCCCGCTCCAGCCAATGGGCGTGCGCGCATCCAGGGATGAGAGTCGCGTGTTGCAAGTGGCGCGGGCCAATTTCACGGCCGAAATAATGTGTGTTTACCGCATTTGTCACAGAAATTCGCTGACGGTGTGTCGGCGTGGCGTGCCAGTCGTTTGGCTTCCACACCTCCGAGGCCGCGTCGGACACAATAGGCGGAACAATATCATTAGACACAAAAATAAAATAACCATTTCGACGAGGAAAAACTTGTAGGGTGGCGTCAGAATGCGTCAGCGGCGAAAAGGAGAAAAAGTCGGTAGTGATCTAATGAGGCCTAAATGCCTCTGCAGTGTGCCCTACCTCAGTCTCCCTAGCCACACGTTTAGCAGCACCGGTCAACCTAACCTGAAATCCCGCGTTCAAGTCCAAGTCAGTTCCATAATCTTTTGAGCATACATGTATGTCCATCTGCTACACTTTACCTTACCAACACAAATAAGATCCTGGGCACGTTTTTCACGTACAATCACAGAGACTTTTCCAAAAATGTGTTGTATCCTTGTACTTAATTCTTTTCTGGGGACAAGCAGCGTAAATTTTTTTGCGAATCGTCGTTTCCGAGGCTCCAGACCTCAAGGACCACCGTTTTGACAAACGACCTCTGCTCATGCAGTGGCGGGCTGGCGGGCTGCGGTCGGATGAGTCGGATGTCGGTCTGCAATGAGCCATCAGCGATCAGCGGCACTTTCTCCGCAAAATCGGCCCTCTCCCTCTCCCACTCGCCTTTTGTTCGTCATTGTCTCTCTCTCTACGTCGCGTCACCCGGGGAGGAGGAGGAGGAGGAGAAGAGAGAGAGGAAGGTTTGGCGGTGCTCTGGCTATGAGTGCGCTTCGAGTGAGATGAATGGGAGAGGCAGTCGGTCGCGATGATCTATCATCAGGCCGATGCAGCAGGAACCGGCAGGAACGCACAATGCAACCTTTCTTCCCCGTCTCCTCTCCCTTCTTCTTCTTCTTCTTCTTCTTCTTCTTCTTCTTCTTCTTCTTCTTCTTCTTCTTCTTCTTCTTCTTCTTCTTCTTCTTCTTCTTCTCCTTCTTCTTCTTGCTCCTCCTTCTGCTCTTCTTCTTTTGGAAACGCATTTAGGCTTGCGACCCAGCAGCAGGTCTCAATGTAATACGAGGATTATTATGTTCTCGGCTTGAGAGGGTTACTGGTTCTGCAGGTGCCCCCCGCACACGCGGTCGGGTCACCCTCTTTATTTTCGTTATATTTTTTTTGTTTTCTCGGCCCCCTTGTACGAAATTCGAATTTACTACTGCCTGGCTCACGCCGTTCCAAAGCTGCCGTCCCCTTTTTATCGTCTTTCCTCTTTGTCGGGTGTCGTCCCGGGACTCCAGCTCGGCCGCGTCCGAGGCGAGCGAGACTTTCCACGCAGCCTCGCGCGGAGTCCCGCGGAGGAGGAGGAGGCTCTCTGAGGGGCAGGGGAGGGGGGTTACGTCAGGATGCCGCGCGAAGACGCCGCACGAGGCGTGAAGGGCGGCGGGGAGGGGGGAGGGGGGCTTGTGACCTTTGCGGCGCCGGGGCCCCGGTTGGGCAGGACGGGCCCTGCACCGTACCGGCACGGGGGCGTGGCGGGGCGTGGTGAGGCGCGGCGGGGCGGGGCGGCATGCATTCATAGAGCATTCCGATCCGAACTCGCGACTCGTTGCAGCCCGGCCGTTTATTATATTTCACGGCGACAGCTTTTTATAGGACTCACTCATATTTCCGCGCCGCGGCGGTGAAAGCCGTGCGCTTGCGTTTCGGCCGCCGGCGGCGGGGATCGAACCCGGGCCTCGGCCGCCGCCGACACCTGCATGCCGCGGATGCCTTGCCGGTTACGAGAGAGGCGGGCGGGCCGCGGGGTCGGCTTACCGCCGCGCTTACCGCCGCGCTTAGCCGCCATTCCCTTTCCGTCACACCGTCGCACCGTCTCACCTAAACGCGGCGTAACCCGGGCGCTAAGCGTAACAGGGCGTCGGCCGGCGTCGCCGCGATGATCGGGAGGGCGGTGGAAAGGTCGCGCCACTGCGAGGAGATCGGCAGGGACCGGCGCTGCGATTCGGACCGCCGCTCGGACCGCCCCGGGCCGCAGGGCGCCAGGCGGCTTGCCAGGCGGCGCCAGGGCGGGAAGGCACCTGTTGTTGTCATTGTAGCGAATAAGGGTTATGAAGGCGGTGTCGCAAGTCCGTCCACCCGTCGGTCAGCGGGGCGGCAGCACACGTCGAGGTGGCTACACTGCACAGTTACAGTCGGCGGCGAAGTCCGGCAAAAGCGCTTTGCCGAGTCGAGGGCCCACTCTGGACGGACGCGATGAAAAAAAAACTTGCAAGCGCACGCCTGCAGCTCGGTTGGGTCAACACCTTTGTAGCGCTTCGGACCGGCCAAGCATGTGGACGCGTCTCCCGTTACAGTGCACAAGACAGCTTGGCGACCATCAAGTCACTGCACTGAGAAAAAAGTCTGGTTAAAAGTACCAGACCAATCCTAGTTAAATGAATACTAGTTACTCATACGAGAATCCTAGTAACTCTCACCAGATGATCAGTTGCAGTAACCAGATCGGGTGTTGTGACATTTACCAGGTGTCTGGTTAAATCCTGTAAATTTTACCGCTGTTCCACTGGCACCTACGAAAAACTCGGATATTCGTTCAATGAAAGTTCAGGGTGTCGAAGAATGCAACCGTGTTATTTTCGGGGTTTAAACCAAAGAACTGGGGTATTTCCCGAGCAGACGCGTGGACCTGGGGCCGCTCGGCCGCGCGCGCGGGCGAGGGGCGCAGGACGCTTCGTCAAAAGGCGGCGCCAGGGTGGAAGGCACTGTTGTTGTCATTGTAGCGAATAAGGTATGAAGGCGGTGTCGCAAGTCGTCCACCGTCGGTTCAGCGGGGCGGCAGCACACGTCGAGGTGGCTTCACTGCACAGTTACAGTCGGCGGCGAAGTCCGGCAAAAGCGCTCCGCGAGTCGAGGGCCCACTCTGGACGGACGCGATAAAAAAAACTTGCAAGCGCACGCCTCAGCTCGTGGTCAACACCTTTGTAGCGCTTCGACCGGCCAAGCATGTGGACGAGTCTCCCGTTACAGTGCACAAGACAGCTTGGCGACCATCAAGTCATGTTCTGCGTGCTTCCATGTGTTACAGCTCGGCAAGCATGCAGCGGTTGTGACACTGCAGAAAGCATGCACCTGTGTCCACCGAGCACGCACTCGCGACAAAGTGCGAAGTTCGAGACGCGCGGCGAAGTGGATTCCGGGTCCAAAAGCAAAACGACAGAAGTTCCCTTTTCTGGGTAGAAAAGGAAGAGGACTCCGGGCGTCCCAGTTATCGGGGGATTCCTCAATGCAACCGGCGGGCCGCGCGGGTGTGTCAGAGCGGTGAGCAGTGGAGTGGCATCGTGAATAGTGGTAAAGCAACACGCACACACACACATACACACAGGCTGACCAGCCGCGGCGCCGCCGGGTGGCAACTCTAGCAGAGGGGCCCGCGGGCTGCCGGGGGCAGAGTGGCCTGGCTAGCAGCATGCTGGCAGGCAGGCGGGATGATGTCAGCGGGGTCACCGGAGTGGTCCCGTCGCTGCAGGCCCCGCCGGCCCCGCCGGCCCTGCCCCCTCTCGGCTGCATCCCCGACAAGTGTGTCAGTGCGACCATCTCCCTCCCTCTCCAACGCCAGTCCGGCCCGGCGCGGCCCGGCGCCCGGTGGAGGGGGCGGCGCGTCTTCTCGCCGCCCCCACCCCGCCCCCACCCCGCCCCCGTGGCGGTGCCCCCAGCCCGGGCTGGGACAATGCGGCGACTTGGACCTCGCATTCACCACACAGCTCCCAGGGAGTGAACACTACGCCATGAGGAATACCATCTACTTTATCGGTGAGTCAGGATGCACTGTGTGTGTTGTGTGTGTGTGTGCGTCCGCCCGTGAGTCCTGCGCGACGGGGACGCTGCTTGCTCAGGGCCCTCTCGTGCGTGCAAGTCCCCACGCTCTGCGGCCACTCGCGCGTTAAAGTCACTCAGGACAACTCGCTCACTTTGGGAAAAGTTCGACTTTGTCGCTGGCGAGCTTATTTTCAAGAGTTTTCGAAAAATGGAGCTGACGGTGGACGGAGCGCCCTTACCGCGAAAGTAGAGTCAGTAAAGCGAGTCCCCTTCCCGCATTAGAAAGAGCGCTCCCCAAGGTCTCGCCTGGCCGCGCCGTCTCCGATCAAGGCGGCGACTCCGCTACCCTTTTCGCACATCGACCGTCATCTTCCAGTCTTCCCCCTCATTTCAAAAAATGACTGTCATGACGAGTCACTGGCCACCGTGCGTGCCCTTTCGGCCGCCCGTGACGCAACGCGACGCAACGCGACCGAAGCCACTTAAAACGAAACTAAAAATAATGCGACTTTATCTCCTGAGGACACAACGTTTACATAATAGGACTGAGCATCTCCTGCCTGCCCTTGTGTGTATGCCTGCATCTGTAAGTGTGTGACTGTGTGTGTGACTGTGTGTGTGACTGTGTGTGTGTGTGTGTGTGTGCGTGTGTGTGGATCGTGACACGGGTGCTTCGTCCTCCTTACGTGCTTCGCGGCGGTCGTCACCTGAAGCCACACGCCACCAGACGGGACCCCAAATGGATTACGCCTCAAGACCAAAGTGCAAGTCAAGTGCCGTGCGACCAACACCACCACCACAGTGCATCAAGCCAGTGCTACGTACCGCCGTGACAGTGACTAGTGCCGCATCTGGATTACGTGTGCGTGCGACATCGTGTGTGTGTGTGTGTGTGTGTGTGTGAGCATTGCATGTGTGTGTGCGCGCCCTCCCCGCGCCTTCCCCCGCGGAGTACTCGGCGAAGAAGACGCTCGCGGACACGATGATTGCCCCGCTGGAGTCCAGCGGCTGGAGGACGCCGAGGCGACGAACGGACGGACGAGCGGCGCTGCGGCGCTGCGGCGCGCTGACGAAACCGATCGGCTAGTTGGGGCTGCACTCTGCTGGACTCGCCGGACCCTCGGGATGCCTCCGGCGTGCCTCTGGCGTGCCGCGCGGCCAACACTCGACAGGCCCCTCCGAGTCCTTGCGGAGTTTAGGCGCCACTCTTTAGAAAAGAAAATCAGTTAAAATGAGAAAAAAATTTACTAAAATTTAAGGAACGTAAAGAAAAAGTCTTGGTTTTTAAAAGCGATTCCTTCTCTGTTAAATCCGAGCAAAAATAAGTTATACTTTGCCGAAATAATCGTTCAGGCCCGGGTGCGCCGAACCAAACAGCAAAAAATCCGGATCGAAAATCGCGACTGGGAAGCTGGTATTTGAACCCGGGACCTTTTGCTCGCGGCGCTATGGCTCTATTGGCATTGTGGATGGTCATGGCTGGTCGATTGCGGCGATACGATACGGGTCGCCTCGCCCCGACCGCCCCGACCGCCCCGACCGCCCCGTCCGCGGCGTCCCACGGTCTGATGGTGTGCCAGCAAGCACCCACAGCGCCACCGGCCAATTGAGACCTGCAAAACTACACTGCTCTTGTTATTTTCTGTCGTTTTTCTTGTTTTTTTTTTTTCGAAAAATTCCCTGCGATTTTGACGAAATTAGTAATACGGTGTTCGAAAAAAGTCAGGTTTTTTTCTGCGAGTGATAGTTCCCGACGAACCGAGGGCAACGGTGTAGAGGCAGTCTTTCTCGGAGAACGATCTGATTATTAATATTATTGTTGTTGTTGTTGTTGTTATATCACGGTTCGTCCCACTGAGCGGCGCCCGATTTTCTCTCTTTCTTCCTCCCTCGGGGATTACGCGAGAGGAACTGTCTCATCCCGGCCCACGCTCTCTCTGTCTCTGTCGGGGCCGTCGGGTGGCATATCGGAAAGCGCCGTGTCGTCATGTGGGGAGAGAGAGAGAGAGAGAGAGAGAGAGAGAGAGAGAGAGAGAGAGAGAGAGAGAGAGAGAGAGAGAGAGAGAGAGAGAGAGAGAGAGAGAGAGATCTGCGTGGGAGGGAGAGGGAGCGGCGAGCAGGCCGTTAAGACGTTTTTGGGGAAGCGCGTAAGCGGCGCCGCGCCGCGGTTTACGAAATTTTGGGCCGTCCTCTCCTTTTCCAACGAAACCCGCAAAGCGCAAAGCAAGGCTCAGCGCAGCGCGAAGCGTAAACCACTCCGATTCCCTTTTGGCCGCCCACAGTGTGGGATCGCGTTGCCGCCTTTGCCGACGGGGTGGTGCGGCTGAGCCAGGCTGCGGTCTGCGGCGGCGAGGCGTTACGCGTGTCCAGCCCCAGTATGGGCATTGCGATGCTTCCGCCACAGGAAATGGGATGAATCCGTCTCCCCGTTTTTCGAAACAAAAAGACTTTTTTAACGCTGTAACACTCAGTGGCAAGGCTATTTAGGCTTGGCGGTATTTCATCTCTCGAGATAATAACTATCATCAATAATTAAGCCGCTGCTTGATGGGTGCGAAGGAAATGAGCAAGAGTGAGAAAGAAAAAACTCGAAGCGAAGAGGCTTTTGGGGGACGAATGCGCGTATTTCGTGGTCCCTTGGCGTCCACAGTCCCCGCCGAGTGACGAGTCTCGCAACGAAACACACAATCGAACTGACCACGTTTTGTTGCGACAGGCGGCGACAAACCGCCGGAGCTCTCTGATTGGTCACGTCGCGTCGGCCCGTTCTTGACCCTATCCGAGCCCATCTTTACCTCATTGCAGTGTGCCTCGCCTCGCAGTGCCTCGCAGTGCCTCGCAGTGCAGGGCCCCAGGTTAACAGTGCGGCAATTTGCTCCGTCGTCCGATTTGTTCTCCGGCGATACGGCCTTAGTGGAGTGCGCGCTGCGGTCGGCGAGATGCTCCCGTTCAGAACCGCTAATCCTCCAATCGCCCCTTCCTCGGCCAGCTTGCCCTCTGCCACCGTCCTTCTCTATCCTTGTCCAGAGATCACCACATCAGCTACCATTCCCCCTCGCCCCACCTTCCCAGCTGTTATATTCTTCTCCAAACACTCCTCCTACTGCTGGCTATTTTCTCCAAACTTAACCACGCCCCAGACGATCCTCTCCAGGCAACCCTCCTTTTCCAGTGGCCGCCCATCCGTCTCTTTCCAGCAGCACCTAAACCCAGCCTGGAGATGATCCTCCAGTGTACTCACTCCAGCGGTCACTGCAACCTGATCATGTGCGCGGACGGACCGCGCTGCTGGGGCCGCGCCGGGCCGGCCACACCGTGTCAGTCATCATTACCCACCTTTCCCCTTCTTTGGCTGCACACACACACACACACACACACACACACACACACACACACACACACACACACACACACACACACACACGCAGCCGTTACGTGTCCGCGTCACGCACGTGCATCCTCATTACTTGTAAAGTGGCCGCGAGGATTAAACGGCTTTAAATTTCCAGGAAAGCGGCGCCGTCTAGCTAGCCGTTCTTAAAACAACCCATTTAGGTGTCACGAAAAACAAAATAGGGTTTTTTTTTACCCCGTTCTGTTCTCTGATTAGATTTGAATGTTTTTAAAATAGACCTTGATTTTTTTTTAGAAAATTGCAAGTATTTGAATTTTTTTTCTGCTTTTATTCCGGCTGCTGTTCCTCCTCGCGTCCGGGCGCAGTCTTGGCCAACGATTCGGTGTGGGGAACCAAGCAGTAGACCGACTCCGAGAGAGTCTTCGTTTGGTCGCTCCGTCCCGCTCGCGCCTGCACGGGACGCCTCGCGAGTGCGAGAGAGAGCGACGAAAACGACGACTCTCGGCATCAGCCCGCGGGGGAACCCTTCGCCCTGTGTGCTCCAGTTTGTGGGAACGGCCGCGGGGGTTCCCTGAGGTTCCCCGAGGTTCCCTCGGGACGAGGAACAAGCGGCAAGGCAGCGCGTATGTGCGGCGGGACGCAGGGAGACGCAGGGGGCGCACACGGGCGTGATGCAACCGGAGCGCACCTGCCCGGGGATGGACATCTTGTCATTCCTGCATTCCTCACTCGCGCTCCTCCACGGGAAAGTAGTTGTTTGTCGTTCAAATACTAAGTGCCGCGTCTCCCTTTCGGGTTGCTGTATAGCATGTTCCCAAACTTTTTTTTTTGCTTTCCTTGTGTTGTGCTAGAACTTTTTAGTCCTGCTCTGCTCAGTGTTTATGATCTGTGTGCCCCAAGGGTGACAAGTTCGCAGCTTTTTTTTTTAAGCGCCTGCAGAGTCTTGGGTAGGCCGCTCCGCCGAACCGGGGTGCTGCGGTGTTGCCTATCCCTTGTTTCGCAGGCGCTTGCCAGAAAAAAAAAATTTGTCGTGAAGACACTAGGCCTCTGTGTGAGAATTTCTTTGTCTATCTGTCTATCTGTATGTCTGTCTGTCTGTCTGTCTGTCTGTCTGTCCGTCTGTCTGTCTGTCTGTCTGTCTGTCTGTCTATCTGTCTGCCCGTCCGTCCGTCCGACTGGCTCACGACATGGTAACGAGAGGCCTGGGCGCGCTGGCGCACGCATCCCCGGCAGACGACGCGGGTAGTTGCTGACCGCGCGGTGCAGGCTCGTCGCGTGATTGACCAATTTGGAGCGATGCTCGTGTGGCGGCCAGCACGCCAAGCACGCCAAGTAGCCGCAGAATACATCCCAACCTATTTCCCAACAACACAAAATCACTCGATTGTCGTCTCAAAAGTCTTTCAACAGTTATTTTTTCTTTCCGTAAATTTCCCGCCTTTTTTCATCGGTTTGCGCTTTTACTGTGATTACTCCCCCCTCCCCCCGCGGGTGCCCTCCGGGCATGGCCAATAATACAGGGCGGCGGCGTCACGACCGCGGTTCGATGTTCGATAGTGAAAGTGCCCGTCGCGTAATAACTCCGCTGATAAAGCTATAAGCAGATGCCTCGTCGTCCCGAGCGACGTTTTAGTTTTCG